TTCTGCAAGTTTTAAAGTCTTAAAATGTCTTTAATTTACCCACAAATTAATGCCTTAAGAAAGTTTTAAATCAGAGCAGAAAGTCTTAAATTTATAAAATGATGGCATTAAATGTAGGATGCAGCAAAAAGTGAATGAATCTCTTCCTCTGTGTTTTGTCTTGTTTTCCAACACAAATATCAAACATCTTTCAGTCAAGATATGTTTATTTCAGATGCAAATGTAGAGTGAAGTCTTGAAAAATGTAATAAAATTAAATGAGTTTACACCTAAAACAATAACAAATATTTGTCAATGAGTTATCAAAACTTCCCTTTAAATTAAGGTGACTTTTTTGCCAAATGGCAGATATTAGTTCTTGTTTTAATCACAAAATCACTTTAAACAAGACTTTGTATTTCATGTCATGTTGTATCTCCAGTAAATGTATCTTTATTTAAGAATCTTTAGGCATTTTCACTGGAAAACAAGACAGAAATACTGAGGAAGAACATCACTTTTTTTCAGCATGATCTGAACGTACAGAAAAAATATACTGTATTTCCATATTCTAGTGTCTGAGAGCAGAGTGTTTCAGTGCATTTTTGTAAAATGAATTAAAAAATTATGAATATCTGTTGGAAGTTGTATTTTCAAACTCATTGTGTTTCTCTCCAGACATTTACATTTACAGAACATATTTGTGTTTTTCCTCATTGGTTCCTCAAATTTGATTTACTTGGTCTTAACTTTACCTTCATAAAATCTGCAGAAACTCTGTTTCCTTGCACATTAAACTAAATATTCAACTTGTTGCAGACACCACTGGTGCACTGCCAGTGCCCTCGCTGTCCTCATATGGTTCCCATGTGGAGCCTCGATCAGAATTTTCAGAATGCTGAAATTGATTAAATTTTTCCCCTCTGGGGGTTGGGGATAATATAACCATTATTATATAATTATTCATGTTTTCATATAACCATGTAATGTATACTACTATTATTTTACTGTATTTACTTTAATACTAATCATTTATTCATAATAATTTGCTTTGTTTTTCAAAAAGGCAAGACACAAATTACTTACTTTGCAGCTGTAATGTATTGTTTAATTTTAGAATTTTGTTTGATGAAAAGCACAAAGCTGAGTAAAATAATGGTTTAGACCTGTGTGAGTGGGATTCGAACCCCGGTCCAAATAAAAGCATGAAAAAATCTGATTGGCTGTGGCATCATTTCCACTCTTTGGCCAGCTGTTGAAATGCTTCAATTTCATTGGCTGTCAGTGAGATACTGTCCACTATACTAACGAGGAGTTGTGCATATTGTACTTATGGTTGTGGTTACTGTAGTTACTGTAAGTGCTTGTGGAAGAGCAGCTGTTTCTTGGAAGTTGTGATGGTGTCAGCAGATCAGATGGAGGTTGGTAGCTCATTCCACCAAAGAGGAACACAGGGTTCCCATGGGTCTTTAAAAACGTCATAAGGCCTCTTAAAAATGTTAGGCTTTTAAAAATTCTTGAATAGCTCAAATATTCTAGAAAGAAGTCTTAAATATTATTTTCAGAAGACTATTATTGTAGATTAATGCATATTCACACTGCTGAGTTTAAAGGCAGTCACATAGACTTTTCTCCACTGACTTACATTCACACGCATGTGAATGCAGAAAAACAAAAACAGTTTCATATTCACATTAACAACGCCCCTTAGCTGTTAGAAATTCACTGTAAACCATGGCTTCTTGGGGCTTATTGCTTTATTACATGTTTTGGAAAATTGCACAGCAGACAAAAATGAGAATATATATGACTTTTTGCCAGACTTTTATGTCACATACACACACACACACACAAACACACGCGTGTGTGTGTGTGTGTGTGTGTGTGTGTG